ATTAAATTCATTACACATATAGAAATATCTTAAAATTAGAAAATTTTCATTATAAACAAACATTAATATTATTATTATATGCACGGCGATTTCCGAAATTCCAAAATCTTTTAAATAAAAAATTTAGGGGCTTATATTCTTTTCGTTTTGATTCATGTAATAATATCAAATGATGTTTTTCTCAAAGTTAAAAAGTGTCAATGAATTCTCCGAGTCCAGTAATTCAAATTTGATTGGAATAATAATGTAATACACTGGTACTGAGTAAAAAATATTTACTATAGAAATGCCTGAGTGAACTATTTTTGTAAAATCGAAATTTCGGAATATTTTTTATAACTAAACCAATAAATTCTTAAAATAAGCAATAATAAATTAAACGTATATATAATAAAGAATTTAATGCAAGAAATAAAAAATTCGAAAAATAAAAAAATCATGAACTCTCTACCTAATGAGATAATCGAACTTATTCTCATATATAATCCTAAGCCTCGTCCCCTAATTTTACTCAATAAAAAATGGTATGGAATATCAAGTAAACCAATAATTCGTGCCAAATGGTTGATACAAAATTACGGAAAAGCAAACCTCTTATTCCACGCGATCCGACTCGGGGATAATTTTATCTCGATGGAGTTGGTCATTTTTCTCATCAAAGAAAAAGTAATTTTATCCAGATACCTTGTGCAACGGTTGGTTTTACAATTTGGAAAAACAGATAATAGTCTAATTGAATTAAATAATAATAATAATAATAATAATAATAATAATAATAATAATGACACGTTCAAAGTTACACAAAAATATTTTAGAAACCCATGGGCTTCGAATATTCCATCGAAAGTATTCATCTATTTGTTAAAGGAGGCCAAAGAACGATACGGTGCAGATCTTCCCTTAAAGGGAAATGATATTGAACTGTTTCACTTCTTAACAGGTGGACCATTACCTATAGATTTGGCACTAGGAGAGTTAAAAGGAAACCTTGAAGGAATTAAGGATCTTATACTTAATAAAAAATTTGTACCTTTCCCTCCAAGGCCAACGATTTTATTTGAAGACACAATTGAATACCAAACAGAAATGCAAATCATAAATTGTGAAGAGTTTCCAGCAAAAGATGGTTTTGAAAATAATGAGCAATTAAACATAATTGCCAGAGCAATATTAATTTATCCAGAAATTGTGAAACTATGGAAACAAATTGGTTACTCTGATATATGTATGGATGTCAATAATTTGGTATTACAAGACTCTTTGTTAATTCTATATCCAAATTCAAAAAATGAAGATTATGTCTCCCCAACTATAAATGATTTTGTTGTGCGCATACAACAATTTATCAAGGTTGGATTCAAATTAACAAAATCTGTTATGGCAGATATTTTATTTTTGTATGAACAACATCTTGCCAAAATTGGAGAAACACTTATAGAAGCATTCCAAATAATAAGGAACCAACCAAAAATCGAAATCATTGAATGTTGCATTGTGGATGCTATTAAAATCAATAGAAATTCAAAAAAACATCAAGTTTTAGATTTTCTTAAGATGCAACTCAAAGAAAATGATTTAGAACCTATCTATCTTAGAGCCCTAGTTTACCATTATTTTGATGATCCTACTAGGAACAAAATCAAATTTCAAAATTTTAAGTCAAATAGCTTTTATACTCACATCAATGACAAAATTTCCAAACTTAACAAAAAAATAATTGAAGAACCTATTAATTATTACTATACTAATGATTATGAATATCATTCACATGATATAAGAACATTAAAATTAAGTGGCAATATATACAAATGGGTACTAAAAAATTTCAATCCTGATTCAATTATCACAAGGTTATGTTTCAATGATATAATTATATCCAAGACTTGGATTGATAGAGAATTGTTGCTTCATCCTGAAAGACAAATACCAGAACAAATGACCAGTTGTACATTCGAACTGATCATATTTGTTTACAATGAATTTTGTAAAAATAATGTTCCATTTGAATTGGTGCATTTAAACTTATTAAAGAAATCAAATAATCCTACAACTTTAGCACCATTCTTTGAAGGTTTCTTACCACAAATTTTTAATATTAACCCAACATTTGATTATCACAATGTTGATAATAATATCAAAGAAAGAGGGTCAAAAATTGAAGAAAAAACAAAATTCTGGTTTATTGAATTGAAAGAGATTCATGATCAAGTTAATACACAATTTAATGTCACCACCACACATAATGATCAGTTTACTATGAATTTCCAAATTTGTATGAAAAATTTTTGGGATAGAATTATGTTAGAAACTGATTGCATTAGTAAATTTGAATCTAAAAAAAGAAAATATGCATTGAATAATGAAAAAGGTGGATCAAAAGTTCAAAAAAGCAGTTAAGATGAGGTAATTGGATTGTAAATCAAGATGAAAATAATTGAAAGCTTGAAGGAAGCATTATTTTTCTATACTTTTACTTATTATTATTATTATTATTATTATATTTAAGATAACACATTTATATTTATTTAAGATAACATTTATTTTTATTATTATATTTAAGATAACACATTTATATTTATTTAAGATAATACATTTATATTTATTTAACATATTTATTGTTTATTTATTATACTTATTATATTATGCATTTCCTGTGCAATTCATTGCACAGTATCAAAAGTTACTGAACAAACTGTCACATGATGTAGGGGTTTAAAAATTTTTAATAAAATTGAAATCAACTCAATGGTATAATTATATCAAGACATAAATCAATAGAGAATTGTTACTTCATTCTGAAATGATCAGTTGTGGATTTGAACTGATCATATTTACTTGCAACGAATTTTGTAAAAATAATGTTCTATTTGAATTGGTACATTTGCCCTATAATAATAAAAAAAAAATACGGAAAAGATACAGAATAAACCGTATGTAAAATACGGAATTTTAAATAATAATAATAAACAACACGTATGGAAAGTACGGGAATATGCAAATTTTCGTGTTAATTTCCGTATCAAAAGTACGGAACCAATACGTAATTGATGCTGAATTGATGCTGAATTGATGCTGAATAAACGTATTTTAGTTAATGGTAAAACGCGTTTTAATCAATGATAAACGCGTTTTATTTAATGGTAAAACGCGTTTTAATTAATGGTAAAACATGTTTTAGTTACTGAAACCGTACAGAAAATTATAATAGATTTAAAATAAAAATTTGTTTATTTAAAATTTTTTTTTTGAAAAATACAAGTAAAAAATGCAAAAAAAAAACAGTATGAACTATAACATGAAGTCGAAATTAAAGCCCAAAAGTTGAACCATTTTTTAACTTGAGAGGCCAAAAGTCAAATTAAAATATCTGGCTGAATGATTTCTGGAGGAGTTTCAACAAGCAACCATGATCATTATCCGCAACAGGAATAAGTAATATACATATAGTCGGATGTACCCTATATTTTAGAGCTGCTAATCTGTGAATTTTAGACCCTACAGACAGATTTATAAAATGAAAAAGATAAAGGTCCGATCTACTCGAAAATTGCATTGTGCACGAATGGAATAATAAATTATTTTAACAAATAAAAAGAATGAAAAAATCATAAAAAAACCTGGTTATATATTTTTTTAAATATTTTATTATTAACAAGATCATATATACAACAAAATAATTGACAAATGGTTAGTTCTAACTTTTCTATTATAATTGAAGGTCAAACCCAAATATATGTTTCCTCGAGCAACTTTGAGGACTTACCAAATGTATTTATCTGTTTAAGCTTAGCGAATTCCAGAGAAAAGTACATAGAAATGATAGAACAGGTAAGGAGAAAATAAGAAAAAACCTGATATTATGGCCTTAAAAAGGTGTAATGGGAAATTACTGGAAAGTTCCCGTATTGTTTGTAGCAACAACTAAAAAATCGGATGATGAAGTAAAATCATGAAGAAAATTATTAGATGGGATTAGTTATATAAATTCAGCATGTAAACCCATTCTAATCGGTTTGGTGTGGTCGGGTTCCAAATAGCTGGTGAAAAGATATATTTAAATGTTCTTGTAAACGACGCAAATGGGATATCAAGATACTTCCACCTAGATCATGCTGAAATTCCTTTAACCCCGAAAGTTTCATTGCGTACAAAACCTCTCATAATTTTACTATTGACCTTAAGAAACATTATAATTGTGAATAGGGACTTGCAATGGATCAGCAATATCCCATCCACCTCGAATTATATTCATTCAAGCCCCACTATTTTATCACCATCTTCACTCAAACCACGAAAAAAAAGCTCTACTCAATTTGAACATGAACAAAATTAGAGTTTCTTCACGAATATTCTGTAGTTTATCTTTATTTATTTTCCCTATACCAATAAAGCTATACCCTGGGGTTCGATTTCGCATACATAATCGTGTTTACTTTTGCATACGTATTTCTGGAATTTGTCTCGATGTCTTAATATTGATATATACTAACCTGTATATGATCGAGAAGTTTTTTTTGTCTATGTAAAAACAATGGCAAACACGCAACCCAAAATTGATTTATTAGAAAAGAATTCAAACTTGTAGCCGAGATTACTGAATTTAAAAAGAAGTATACTGAAACTTTTTTAATTTTTTCAATGCTTCACGCAATCCACACCGCACTGCATACATATGTTAAAAATCATAAACACATTTATTATTTTTAAAGAACAAAGTACAGAATATATATGATAAAAAAAATTATAAAATAGACCACAAATAAATAAATAAATGAAAAAAAAAAAAAAAAAAAAAAAAAAAAAAAAAAAAAAAAAAAAAAAAAAAAAAAAAAAAAAAAAAAAAAGAAAAAAAAAAAAAAAAAAAAAAAAAAAAAAAAAAAAAAAAAAAAAAAAAAAAAAAAAAAAAAAAAAAAAAAAAAAAACAAAAAAAAAAAAAAAAAAAAAAAAAAAAAAAAAAAAAAAAAAAAAAAAAAATCAAATAAATGATATAACAAAATGATTTAATAACTATAATCATTACTTTTATTACCAACAATAAGTTTAGTAACTTTATTAATGTTAGAACCAAGATGGTAGGTGAACACATCCGCAGTTCCACCATAATTTTTGCCTACAACAGTGATATCATAATCCATATATAAAGTATATGAAACATCAATATTTTTCAAATAAAACAAAAGAGATCCTTTCGCTAAAAACAAGTTTACGCTAAGCTCGACTCCTTTTGCGAAATCTCCAGAGATTTCTCCTATTACAACGTTAACAACCGCCACATTAACATCAAATTTACAATCATTTAAAGTTGGACCTACTACTAATGTTCCCCCCAGTTTAATAATACCGAGAAGTGAAATATCGAATGCAATGGTAACGCCATCGGACTCAAGGTTCGCATCACTGTTAACGATGGACTGTTCAATATTGAAGTAGTTGTCAGCAATTTTTGATATGCGAACATCTGGTAACGGTTTTGATATGGTTGAAGTTCCAAATAACAGTAAGAATACTGGTAAAAAATAAGTGTTATGGAGTTTTTAGTTTTTGACGAAGTGAAACTTCATATTGATAGAAGCATTCCATTTTGTAATCATTATGCAACTCAATTATACGTACTGGAAAGCGTTACCAAAGTTTTGATGTATTTTTTTTCCATGTCAATTTAATATAAACTCATACAGAAGCGTTCTTTGCATTTTATATATCGACATCGGCAAAGCCCATAATGAAGGAGATAAAAATGGTTTGTTTACATGCCAAATCAGTCATGATAATAAGAAAATGGCACACCTTAAAATATTTTTTTATGGTCGCACAAATGAAATGATTGTCCACTTGCAAAGAAAATATATAAAACAAGCATAATAATTTTATTTAATAATTTTAATAATAGGTGCACTCACAAATAATGGTTTCACATTGTACATATATCACAAGACAAGTGAGTTTCATAGGAATGATTGTATGATCTATAAAACTCCTGATGTAGCAGAGAGAACCAAAATAAAATATTGAATGTGCAAAAGTTAGAGTTTGAATGAAATTTTAGGACACTTCCTGCTTGAATGCACAATCTCTAACACTAACACAGCTTTTCTCTTATTATTATCTTATTTTAGTGAATCCAATCATTTCTACAAAGGCTCAATTGTCCCATATTTCATGCATTGAAGAATGAAATGAGTTCACGCTATTTTTTCACACTATTATTTATGAAATGTCATTATTGATGAAATGAAATCAATGAAATGAGATAATTAATCACAATTTAGCAAGTTTCTTGTCTAAATGCACTCACTCTAACCATCATGAAGAATATTAATTATATTCTTATTTTATAAAATACTTGACCAAAATAATTGAATTACCCAAGCTATTGGTAAGAACAAAAAGAATGGGCAGTCCATTAGCTATACCAGATATTCTAGAAAATGTATTCAATACCTCCCTACTACAGCCTTGGTTAGAGTCACCTATGAATGCATTGCAGGATTTTTATAACAAATCACCTTCTCTTTGTCCCCAATTCATTTTTTTAATAATTGTTTTCTCAAATATTAACTGATTAAGTTTATATGTAAATTAAAGCATGTTTCTTTCAACAAAAATATTATTTTGAACCACAACATATTTTTTTTTATTTTTTTAAAATTTACATGTAGGGTCTGGGACACCCACTTTACTGTCAACACACGGGGTTACATTTAATCTCTAAATAAACTAACAAAATGCTAAAATATCACATCATGTGTTGTTGGTAAAGTGTCTTGTCAGTAAAGTGGGTGTTGGTAAAGTGGGTGTTGGTAAAGTGTCTAGGTCCATACATGTAATATTATAAAATTTTTTTCACATATTCTTTACAGCTGGTAAAATTTTCTATATTAATTCCTTTTAAAAAATTATTTTATTGATGTAAATGAAAAATCATAGCTATAATACTACCACCATTGCCTATTAAACTTATATCAAATCATTACAATTAAATAGATATTGAGATAAATATACTTTGAATATTACTACACTACTGAACTGATTCCATTGATTCCATTGAAAAAAGATTTAATAATTCAACTTGCTGAATTAACTCACTTAGTGAACGACTTGTATAGAATGATTCTGAATGATGTTTATCATCTAACAAATAATTTTCTTCAATGATAATTGTTAGGAATTCTTCTGCTAATTCAATAATGTCCATTGCTTCTCTAGAAGGATTATGATGATATTTTCCAAAACATTCTGCTATTTCATTAGCATCAGGTCTATTTTCTGGATTAGGATCCCAACATCTTTGCATTAAATCAGCA